TAATGTCAATCCCCACTCCTTTATTCCCATCCGTCTCGCTTCCACTATTCCTCAGCCCTTCATTAGCCTCATTAAATACCGATGCAAAATATTAAGTTAGGTATTGTGCCATGCCTAGATTATCCTTAATCTCCACTCCATCTACAGTCTTAAGCGGTCCCACTTCTTTCTTTGTTTTCTTCCTATTTATATGGCTATAAAACCTCTTACTATTGGTTTTAATTCCCCTTGCAAGGTCCAACTCTACACGGCTTTTGGCTTTTCTCACTCCATCTCTACATGTTCTGACCTCAATAAGGTAGGTTTCTTTGCTGATCCCTCCCATCTTCCACTCCCTGTACGCTTTCTGTTTTTTCTTAATCACCCCTCTGAGACGCTCGCTCGTCCAGCTCGGTCTAAATCTCCTGCCTACGAACTGTTTTCCCTTTCTCGGGATACAGGCATCCGACAGCTCCTGCAACTTCAACTTGAAATAATCCGAGGCGCCTTCTGCCTTTAGACCCCTAAATATGTTAGTCCAATCCACTTCCCTAACTAGTCCCCTTAATTTATTAAAGTTAGCCCTTTTGAGGAGGAGCAGCCTCTGGCTGTGTGGAGGCCACCTTGCTGCTGAATGGCTCCTGCCCAGGGACGGAGCCATTCAGTAGTAGGATGGCCTTCCCCGGGAAAGGGGGCTCTTCTTCCTTGCAGTCCTGGCAAGTGTTCTCTACTCTGTTGTGCCAGAGCCTTCCCCACACCTTGTGCCTGCAGGGATTGGGTGTGTCTGGTACTGCAGCAGCATAGAGAACCTTCTGCATGTCTACTGTCACATCCCTGCTCTCACCAGCTGGGACTGCCAAGTGTCCCTTCTCTGTTCCACCAGAACTGTATCTTTTCTTGAGCCTGACCTCTGCAGAGATTGGGTGTCACTGGCCCTGTAACAGTGCAGAGAGCCCTCTACAGCCCCACTGTCATGGGAGTGAGGGAGAGGCCATGACAGAAGGGCTGCAGAGGGCTCCTTGCATGTCCACAGGGCCAGTGACATCTGGTCCCTGTAGGTCCAGGGTGTGGGGGCAGTTGTAGTCCTGGCAGGGCAGAGCAAAGACCTCTGGCCAGAACTGCAAAGAGGAAGAAGAGTCCCCAACCATGGAGTGTCTCTTCTGGCCCACCGGGATCAGCAGCCTCCCCTGCACCTTGTTCCTGCAGGGATCAAGTGTCACCAGCCCTATGGCAATGGAGGGAGCCCTCTGAAGCTCTGCTGTTATGGCCCTGCTCACTCACTTCTCAGCCAGAAGTGAGAGAGCCATTCCCAGGTAGGAACTATACAGCAGTGAGGTGATTGCTCCTTGCAGGCCTGACTAACGGTCTGCTCTTCCAGCCAGGACTGCAGCCTCCCCTGCACCCCACACTCGGGTGTCTTGGGCCTCTCGGCCATGCTGAGAGCCCTCTGTACCCCACTGTCAGTGCTGCCCTAACCCCAATACTACTCTCCTTAATTTTCCACAACTGTAAACATTAAAATTATTAAAAATTAAAAACATCTATATTGTTGAAATTGCAAAAAATAAACATACTTTCTGGACCTGTTATGTCTTTGCTCTGATAACAGTGAAAGTTTAGGGCTTCCCTGGTGGAATGCATCAGTTAACTCAAGGTACTTCTTTGCAGAGATTTATATAGTTTGAGGCCAGAAGGGACCATTCAGTGATGTAATTTGACTTCTGTACATCACAGGCCATACAATTTCATCCAGTTTACCTGTGTTGAGTCAAATAGTTTATTTAGCTAACGCATGTTCCAGAAAGTCTCAATTTGAAGACCCCAAAAGATGAAGAAAGTTGTTTGTACAGGGTTTACTCCTGGGGGAATTCTGAGCCAATGCACAATGTAGAATTTTGCAGAAATTAATATGTGCGCAGAATTTCCTTTCCCCCACAGAAATGGGATGCAATGCTGTTGGTCACCAGTAGGGGCCGCTGGACCCTGCAGAACCCAGCTGGCACATAGAAGACACTGCTGGGGGGAGGGGGAGGGAGCTAGAGCATTCCTGGCAGCTGCAGTTGCCAGCATGCCCTGAGGGAAGGAGACAGTGTGCAAGAAACTCCATAAAATGATGTCTTGCATCTGAAGAAGTGAGGTTCTTACCCACGAAAGCTTATGCTCCCAATACTTCTGTTAGTCTTAAAGGTGCCACAGGACTCTCTGTTGCTTTTTACAGATTCAGACTAACACGGCTATCCCTCTGATAAGAAACTCCATGTAAGCCTGAGACCAAACATCAGACTTTCTCCCTCTGGATCCCTGGGGTTTGGGGGGAAGGGGATGTGTGTATCTGGGCAAAGGGGGGGGCCTGTGGCTGGACTCTATTGGGGGGGGGGGCGTTGGGCGTATTGGCTGGGGGAGAACCGTGGCTGGGCTCTGGGAGGGGAGGAGGCAGAGAAACAGGAACTGGATTGTCATAGAGGATTCTTTAACTCTACTCCTGGGGAATTTTTGTGCGTATCTGTATTGTTACAGACATACTTGCTGACAGGTATTTTGAAATAAATTACCAAAATAATTGAAACTGGTCTGATTATATAGTGTTGTTTTGAAAAATAAAATTTGCAGAATTTTAAAATATTTTGCGCAGAATTTTTATTTTTTTTTTGTCTGCAGAATGACCCCAGGAGTAAGTGTTTAAAAATTTGTGCCTGCTTTATAATATGAATTTGTCTGGCTTCAGCTTCCAGCAGTTGGTTCGTGTTATGCATTTCTCTGTGATCACAGAGCCCTTTAGTACTTGGTATTTTCTCCCAGTGAAGGTACTTAGACGTAATCAAATGACCTCCGTCTTCTTTTAACAAACTAAACAGACTGTGCTCTTTAAGTCTCTAACTGTAAAGCATTTTCTCCAGCCCTTGAATCATTCTGCATTGTCCAATTTTTCAACGTCTTTTTAAAAACGTGGACAGCAGACCTGCACACCGTATTCCAGTATGTCTCACTAATGCCATATACAGAAGTAAAATCACTTTTCTACTTCTACTTACTATTCCCCCCGTGTGTTTATCTGAGGAATGTGTTAGACCTTTTTGTCAGTGTTGCACTGGGAGCCCATTATGCGTTGCTTATGCACTATGACCCCTAAATCATTGTGTTCCAGGATACAGTCCCCCACTTTGTAGGTATGGCCTGCAGTTCTTGTTCCTAGATGGAAAACTTTGCATTTGACTGTATTAAAATGCATTTTATTTTAATGGGTCCAGCCTATCAAACAATCCAGATTGCTCTGTATGACTGGCCTGTCATCACTTGCTGATCCTCCAGTTTTTGGCAGATTTTGTCAGCAATGTGGGGGGGGAGGTTTGGGGGGGGGGGGGGGCTCTATTTAAATATAAAAAAAAGAGCAAAAAAACATTCCCTTTACTCCTTCTCTCCCCCCCCCCCCCAAACAATTTTCATACTGAAGAAATGTTTCCTAAATGCCACTACTTTGGCACTAATCAATAGGTTAATCTCGCAAAGTAGGTCTTCCATTTCTAATCTGTAAATATCTTTTAATTCTTACAACTTTTTATAACAATATTTTCTTAATACCTGTAATAGAAACATTTAGTCTCTTTAATAACATAAGACTGAATTATTACTTTTTTAATTTTAGTCAAAAAAGAATAAGAAGAAATCAAAGGGAGATGCTAAAACAGTTCAGGACCCGTCTCGTCTCGATGGAAAAGAAGCAGATGAAGGTACTAAGAACAGCATTGATAAGGCAATGCAGTGAGACTTTTTAGCCTACATGCTATCTAAGATTTACTTGTTTAAACATATAACAAAAATAATTAGCTGATGTCATAATCTTAAATCGGATATGTGGTCATTTAGTGGTTACTACCTGATGAAATGTTCTTAGATTAAGACTGTTTGGATGCTGAATATCTGAAAATCCAGGATTTCTGGAACAGAAAAGTTTAAGCTGGTAGCTTCAGAACTGGGGTGTTGGCAATTTGATCTGTGAATGTTGGATTAGAAGGGTTGAAAAATACTAAAATTGTTCATCAAAGGCAATCATCCTACATCTTATTCTACCTGAAGTGTTGTGGCTCATATGGTTTGAGTGGTTGTAAAAACAAAACACTATTATTCTCGCATCCAGAAAAAGGACATACTTTTCAAGCATGCCATTTAAACTCTAAGTTCAGTTACCTACCCTTGTTCTCCCTTTACCTATTGGTTTCAGTCTATCTTATTGCTAACTCTTACAAAATTAAACTTGGTTCCTAATTAAATTTTAGTTGGGTTATTCTTTTACCATTGTATTACTCATGTAATGCCATTTTTATTTATGGGGATATTTTAGGAGCTTGGGAAACTAAAATCAGTAACCGTGAGAAAAGGCAGCAGCGTAAGCGTGACAAGGTACTGACTGATGCTGGTCCAATAGAACCAAATCTCCCTGGGATGGAAAATGCAGTTACAGTAACCACTGAACAAGTAATACCTACACCATCTTTTCCAGTTGGTCCCAGAAAAAATAAAGGTATGATGTTGTAGAAAGAAAGAATACTTGAAAAATAAGCAGTGTTCACTTAAAAATGCATTATAATAGGAGGGGGATATATCCATGTAAAGAATATTGGAATTGGAAGTTGTAATACTTTGTGTGGAATTAAGGATGGAGGAAAAGCTAAAAACAGCATTTAACAAAAGATACCTGTCCCACTAAGACTCCCAATTATTGGCTCCATGTTTTCAGCTGGAGCAGGTGAGAACTGTAAAGCCTTGTCTCTTGGAACCTATAGAAGCATCCCTCAATCAGGTACCTAGTCTAGCCCCTTCCCACCACCATCCGTGTTCTTTTCTGACTGTGTTGGGGAAGATTTTCCTTGTTTCACAGATCATTCCTGATTTTTTTTGGCAAATTCCAATGGGTTTTTTTTTTTTTAGCAAGCCTCTTCTCACCCTTCCTTTCCCTTTGTGGTCAGTTCGTTTCCTATTAAACCGAAACACAAACTACTTTTTTTTCCCCTTTCCACCACCATACCAGTTCTACTTTGTCTGGGCATTGTTTGCATAACTGATGATACCACAGCTTCATCAGTTGCCCGAGCCCCACAAGAAGACCGGAAAGACACCATTTTGTTGGCCTACTAGATACCAGATTTCCTCTAGACAGTCTGGTACCTGTTGAGGCATCTGAGTGCCTAATTAAACAAAGAACAATGCATCAAGTGTTCTGACATAGGAGCTAGGCTCAAGCTTTCTGGTGCTTTACTATATTACATTCACCTTCTAACTTCGACTCCTTGCATCGTTGATGCCTCAGATCCTGCTTTCTTCTTTGATCAGAGCTTGTTTCTGTCCTGACTGAATGCACTGTCCTTGCCCTTGAGTACTATGTCAGTTTTCCCTTTGTCACTGGGGGCATGTAGGAAGTAAGGCAACCCAGCAACTTCAAGAAATGTGTTGACTGTAACTGTATCGTGAACTTTATGGACATTAATGACTACTGTAATCTATCTGAGCAGGAACCATGGCAGTGTGTAGTGCACCATCAGTTCTCAGATGTCACCTTGCACCAGGTTAATTTGAAAGGCGTTCAGCTGCATCTGCAGCACTGCCTGGGTTCGGTAAGAGGTAGAAACAGTGGTTTCCTTTTTGTAATAATGTCTGGAAGAGGCTAGCGGAGGTGTTTGCAGTGAAATGACCTCTTCCACCTGGTCTGGGCATACTGCTCATGAGCACTGGAAAAATAGCTGGGCTCCTTTCAAATTAACTCTTTCTTAACCTGAATTAAAAGCTGATTAGGGTTCCTTGATTTAAATTCTGAGATATCTAAACTGTATATAAATCAAATAGCCTTTGAGATTAAATGCCCATATTTTTCAATTTAATATAGCTTCTAAAAATTTGCTGTATTTGCAAATTTTTCCTTTAGTTTAGGATGTAAATATTTTTTGCCTGTTAATGATTGTTAAAGAGCTGATCCTCTGAAGTATAATTTGGCTTTTGGTAATGAATACTTACTATAGATGTACAATGGTTTATAAAGACTTTCTCTTTAATCAGGTGATACAATTCTGAATGTTCAAGTTAGCAGCTCTAAATCTGCAAAGGGAGATTCAACAATTCAGCAAGGTAAAAGAATTTATGACTAGTGTGCATGCTAACTTGTTAATCTGAGTAATAGTTTCCTATACAGAACTAGAACTCCACCTGGGTCAGAGTGCAGGATGCTGTGCAGTTCATGATTTAGAACTTTTTTCTCAGTTATGCAATTGCTTGCTCTTTAGTTGTGGGTGTCTGACTTGCACAGTCATTGTACAGTTATTTCTCAATAACAGTACATAGGCTACATAGACTCTTTATGCCCTAGTTACTCTAATAATACTGCCGTACTGTACCTAGAGTTTTTATGCTGTTTATACCTGGTATAAAAATTACTACTGAGTAAACCCCAAACATTCGTGTCTTGGAACAACATTTGGGGACTGTCCAGACTAGCCTTAACAGTGTTCACTTTCTCAAGTTAATGAGTTAACAAGTTGCCTAAAGTAAATAAATAAATAAAATAAAAGCCTCAACATATTTGCTTTGAGTTAAACACACAGGTCCTGAGTCTAAGGAATCTAATATGCAGTTTGGGCATAAATTGGTGATTTGGCACCTAAACACCACAGTAGTGGGCATATGTAGATTTTGCACATGCCAATACCTGTTGGTACATGGAATTACTATAATTTTAGCCCAACTCTCTGAAAATTGGGCTCAGATTATAAAAACTTATGTTTTGAGTGTTGAAGCTTCTAGTTAGTCTTTCTCGTAAGAGAAACTGATCCAGGAACATTTGGGAAACTGTTTAACTCTGGCCCTTGTCAAATGCATATGGTAACTATTTAAGTCTAATGAGGGGTGAAAACATTATCTACTAACTGACTACATTTACAGGAGAATGTGAAGCTAGCTGGTGGATGTAGCTGTGACCAAATATAGTCCATGTAGTTTGGCAGATCAATATTATGTTGAATTATAAGAAATGACATCCAGCAGAAAGCAGTTCTCTTGCTGTCAATCCTTCAGAGCTTTGCCTCACAAGCAAACTGCTGGTGCTGTGCAGCACTGCTAGAGAAGAAGATATGTGTGATAAGGAGATTAGTACAAGAACCTGAATAAAATATATGCATTACTGTCCACCTTCTTGGCACTCATAGCTTTCCAGAAGGACAGCCTGTTACAGTAGTGACTGTGGTCATCTTCAGGGCTAGGATATTCCGAAAAGCTGTGGATATTTTTATGCTGTACTAGACAGGGAAGAAAACAAAGTTTAAGGGGCAGAACATGGAATATTTGTCTCTGCGTTTTCAGATTTGATAAGACCAATACTTATATGCCCTTTTCAATATGGAAAGCTCCTGACTATTCATATGGGATTTTTTCACTAGGGTTACTTCCTGAATAAAATGGAAACCTTCCTCCATCCCATCCTAGCTCTGAATTGCCAGAAGGGGCTTCTCACAGCTGTCTCAATTGCTGCTTCTCTGGTGGAAGGGGCAAAGGAGGTGACATGTTGTCTTTGTCACAGAGAGAGAGCTCTTTACAGAGCTAGAGGTCCCCTTTTTAATGCCTGAGGGAGAAGTAACAGTGGGCAGGAAGTAGCAGCCCTTTAAGGGAGAGAAGAGCACAGAAGTGAGGCATAGCCTTCTGATGTTGCTTCCTATTTCTCCCAGCTATGAGAGTGAACGGGCACTAGTCATCAGAACCAGAGAACCAAGAGAAACAGAGTAGCTGCCCCTCTTCCATGCCTCATGTAGAGAAGCCGCCTTGATGTCCCATTTTGGCTCTCTTCTATTAGGAGCCAGGAGGGACATGACATCAGTACTCCCTCCTCTCGCATTCCTTTTCCAGTGTTCTCTTGATCCCGAACAGTGTTGCAGCATTGTTTAAAAAGTCCCTTTTTCTGCTGTCAGCAGTTCATCCAGAATATAGTTCCTTTTCAGTTGTGTACATACAGGTTAGGATATTTCTGCTTTACTGGTTTTATTCTTATGAGCATGCAAGAGTATTCAAGTACTCCAGAATTGGGCCAGTTCATAGATTTGCAACTAACCTTGCTCGAATCTAAACTCTTAATACCCAGGATTCTCATTTGTTTAGCATACTTTGTTGTAAAGTGCCATGTTTGCTTATGGCAATATGTAAATATCACAACACACTGCCATATTGGGATCAGAGTTCTACACCTGGGCCTGTAAGGAGCACTATGCTCTGCTCTCTCTTGTCCCCCAAAAGCTGACTGAAAGAATGGTATTGACTGACTTTGGAGAGAGCAGTTTTTAGCCACCCCCACTAGGAAGAAAGTGAAGCAAAAGAAGGATATGGAGCAAAAAAGGATATACTGGAGGCCCTCTAGGCATGAAGAGGGGGAGGGAAAGAAGGGCAAAAAAATAGAAACCTGTTCTCTAACATTGCAGGAGGAAGGCAGAGTGTTAAAACATTTCAGTATCTTCACAGGAATGGAGCCTACAGGCAGAGGTGAGGGACACAGATGATAGAAGTGTTAACATTTGAAACATGAGGGGTATCTGACTTTAGATATTTCAGCCTTAACAAGTTCACCTATTTTAGAGGCTAAGAATTATTGTAACAATTCATAGTTTGTGTTAAAACTGTCTTGCAACTGCATGTGATTCTGGTATCTAATATTTAGTTGCTGCTGACCAAAATTCAATAATGAACTTGATTTCTTTATAATAAAGTAATATTTTAACTCTTCATCCAGTAACTTTTTTTAATGTATTTTTTATTTTTTAAGTTTCTTCAGGGTTGAATGAAAGTCCTACTGTAAATGGAGGAAATTGGAATGAGAAGTCTGTAAAAATCTCCTCAGAGATCAGTGCAGGTGAGGAGAAATGGACATCTGTTCCATCAACTGCAGCAGGGAAGAGGAAAACTGAGACATCTGCTTGGGGTCAGGACACTGGAGATGCTAGTGGAAATGGAAAAGATTGGAGTGTATCCCTTGTGAGCAGGTCCTGGGGAGAGCGTACTTTGTTCCCTAGCATTGGTAAGTATTGCTTCATGCAAGCATTCTTGCACCTTTTAGTAAAGGTAAAACAATGTTGGGATTCTTAAAAACATAATTGTCATTTTGTAATCTTGTTGCTATTTAGTATAAAGTTATTTCCTTGGTTAATATTGATAAATTGATTGAGTCCTGGTATTTAGGAAAACAATCCAGTTCGGCTGCTTTGAACGTCTATATTTTATATTTGTAACACATTCAGTTTTTTCCCTACAGTCATGTAGAAAACTGCTTGCCCTCCCCCAAAGCACTACTAAAAATCAGTAGTGTACAAATGTAGAAATGGTTGGTTGAGGGCCTTGTGGATATATTTTTTGTTTTTAGTAATTCATATTTTTTTTAAGTGGTGGCTAATGAATTTCGAATCCAAGGCATTTTCAACTTGATCACAAAGAAATTCCAATTTGATTTATGTAAACATTTGTTTACTAATGTTTATTAAACATTTGTCTTTACTGGGATTTTTTTAGGCTTATATTTGAGGTAAATATTGAAGACTTTTTTTTCTAAAAAATGAACAACTGTAGGCAATTCGGCACCAATGAGCAACTCTATGGCAAAAGCATTTTTTATTTTTTAGAAAAGTCTGAATTTGGAAGGCACGGGGGAGCAAGCCTCTCAAAATTGGCCGGATATTGCAAGCTGACGGAGTGAGGTGCAAGTTTAGGGCCTCAGCATTGACTGAGATAATGCTTCAATACAGAAACACCCCATGCCTCTAATTGTCACCTACCATCCTACACTGGAACCTATATAGGGTACAGTTAAACAGTTACAACCCATGCTCGATGAGGACCACATCCTGAAAGAGCAGGGGTGGACAAACATTTTGGCCCGAGGTCCACATTGGTGTTGCGGAACTGTATGGCGGGCCAGGTAGGGAAGGCTGTGCCTCCCCAAACAGCCTGGCCCCTGCCCCCTATCTGCCCCTCCCACTTCCCGTCCCCTGACTGTCCTGATCCTTATCCACACCCCCGCCTCCTGACAGCCCCCTCCCCCCCCGGAATCCCATGCCTATCGAACCGCCACTGCCCCCCGGAACCTCCTGCCCTTATCCAACCCTGCTCCCTGCCCCCTTAGCGTGCCGCTCAGAGCGGCAGGCGCTCGCAGCCACACAGCAGGGCCAGAGCCAGCCACGCCGCCCAGAGTGCTGGTGTTGCGTTACATCGCGCTGAGGCTGTGGGGCAGGGAGGACAGCAGGGGCGGGGCTGGGGGTTAGCCTCCCTAGTCAGGAGGCAGGACGGTCCCGCAGGCCGGATGTGGTCCCCAGGCTGTAGTTTGCCCACCTCTGTGAAAGAGAGATCTTTCCTAAGGCCCCCTTTCTGGTGTTCAAACAACCCCTGCAGCCTTACCATAATCAGAATCCCCACAGACCAGAACCTGCTAACTCAAAACAACACCAGACTCTGCCATAACCGATGCAAAACCTGCAGACATACTTCAGCTGCCATGATGATTAACACCTCCCAACACAACATCTTTCAAGATCTATAGGTCCTACACATGCCTGTCACATGCTGTGTACCTCATCCAGTGCATTAAATGCTCCAGTAACAACTATGTGGGTGAAACCAGACAATCACTAAGCTCTCAAATGAATTCGTACAGAAAAATAAGACAAAAACACCTTGTTACTGTAGACCAGGGGTCGGCAACCTTTCAGAAGTCATGTGCTGAGTCTTCATTTATTCACTCTAATTTAAGGTTTCACATGCCAGTAATACATTTTAACGTTTAGAATGTCTTTATAATATATAACTAAACTATTGTTGCATGTAAAGTAAATAAGGTTTTTAAAATGTTTAAGAAGCTTCATTTAAAATTAAAATGCAGAGCCCCCCGGACCGGTGGCCAGGACCTGGGCAGTGTGAATGCCACTGAAAATCAGCTTGCGTGCCGTCTTTGGCACGTGTGCCATAGGTTGCCTGCCCCTGCTGTAGACTAACACTTTTCACAAAATGATCGCTCCATATCTGACCTCTCAGTCCTTGTCCTCAAAGGAAACCTGCACAACAACTTTGGCCAGGTGTATACTACAGACGTGTATTGGTATAACTGTGCCGCTTGGGGGTGGATCGGTGACAGAGTTATACTGACCCAACCGCCTGTGTAGAGAGCACTATGTCGATGGGAGAGCTTCTAATGCAGCATTTTAAGTGTAATCTGCCCTTCAAAAGATGAACCAGGGAGCTTAAGTTCATAACTTTGCTAGACATTAAAAACATGGTCTCAATAAAGACACTGGATAACTACAACAATCTGTAACCCCTAACCCGCCGCCCTTTTGTTCTATGATTGCGGAGGTGTTAACGGGCCATTTCACCTTGAATTTTCCCTTACAACAGAGGGTCTCAATCATTTTCTTTCTGAGGCTCCCCCCAACATGCTATAAAAACTCCACAGCCCAGCTGTGCCACAACAACTCTTTTTCTGCATATAAAAGCCAGGGCCGGCATTAAGGGATAGCAGCCTGGCAATTACCCGGGGCCCCATGCCACAGGGAGCACAGCGAAACTAAGTTGCTCAGGCTTCAGCTTCAGACCCGGGTGGCGATGCTTGGGACCCTGGGCTGCAGTCCTGTGTGGCAGGGCTTTGGCTTTCTGTCCTGGGCTCTAGCAATTCTAATGCCCGCCATCGTTGGCGGACCCCCCTGAAACCTGTTTGCCGCTCCCTAAGGGGCCCCAGACCCCTGGTTAAGAACCACTGCCTTAGAATGTTATCGTGCTAAACAATCTTTTCCACCTTGTATTTACCTGTGACACTGAAGCCATGTCTAAACTTAAATCAGTACACCTCTACCCCGATATAACATGAATTCGGATATAACGCAGTAAAGCAGTGCTCTGGGGGAGGCGGGGCGCTGCGCACTCTGGCAGATCAAAGCAAGTTTGATATAACATGGTTTCACCTATAACGCGATAAGATTTTTTTGGCTCCCGAGGACAGCGTTCTATCGGGGTAGAGGTGTATAACTATGTTGCTGGTGTCTCGCGGAGGTGGATTAACTACGCTGATGGGAGAAGCTGAGCCACTGCAGCGTTTTAAGCATAGACCTACCCTGAGTACCTTTCCCAGGCCTGAAGAAGAGCACTGTGTAGCTTAAAAGCTTGTCTGTTTCACCAACAGAAGCTGGTCCAATTAAAAAATATTGCCTCACCCACTTTTACTCTTGCTTACTGAGTACTATAAGAAGACAACTTAAAGCCACAGGTAATATTTTACTAGGATGAGACTTTGTCTTGCGGTTGGAATGTCTTCTGATTTTTTTGACCATATTCCTACAGCTTTAGACAACTGATTTTTAGATGCCTTCAATATGGCAAAATAAAGTGTGAAGTTATCAAGCTCTTTATTTTTTTTCAGCTGCCTGGAATGTAGATGGAAGGATCAAGGCCTCTGAACCAAATTCTGCCTCTTTCACTTCCTTAGGACTAAATCCTGCAATTTCTGGTATGTTAAACTTTGCAAAGCTTTTTCTACAACTGTACTTAAATTAGACACCCTGGTTTTTTTTTTCTTCAATAATCGTTCTGCAGACATGGTTATAGTTTGTGGTTCGCAAGACAGAGGCATTGTCTACACTTAAAAGGCTGCAGCAGTACGGATGCAGTTGCGCTGCTATAGTGCTTCAGTGAAGACACTATGGCCTAGTCTTCACTTACCGGCTGGTCCGGCGGCACG